GCTCAATCATCTATTAACAAACGTGTGTTTATTTTATCACTTCTGTCAGTGAACACGCAGCCTGCAAAACACTAAAATAAACATCAAAGAAATAATACAGTTAAACAAGAAAGTAGCCTAAATAAGAAAGTTAAATATACCCTGTCTACCGGACGCGAGAGGTGCGGCGCGACACAAAAAAATACTATAAAACTCATTATAATCAGTGATGCTACACTGGATGCGGCACGACACGACATGACAAATCCACAACAGTAAACTGCCTCGTCCTGTTTATGAGGTACTGACACAAAGTTCAAATGTCCTGTGTAGACAGACTCGTCCTGTGTAGACAGACTCAACCTGTTGCGACATGGCAGTGTCGCGTCCAGTGTAGACACGGTTCACTGTTCCGCCGCCAAGTAAGTGCATTAACTCCTCGTCTGCACGCACTCTTTTTGAAATAGGAATCATTCCCACATTTCTTGTTAACATCTTCCATTTATCGCTGGCCTGTCTACCGGACGCGAGAGGTGCGGCGCGACACAAAAAAATACTATAAAACTCATTATAATCAGTGATGCTACACTGGATGCGGCACGACACGACATGACAAATCCCCAAGAAATAGGAATCGTTGCCACATTTCTTGTTAACATCTTTCATTTATCGCTGTCTCGTTTGTATTTGGCCAGTTTGGAGAAAGCCTCACCAAACCTGACCAGCCAGGCGTTTGCGATCACGGGAACTTGAAGACACTTGTACAAACGCGATGGGTGACATGAATGTAGATGGCTCCAGATCGGCGATGTAGTATTCGGTTTCCCAACAAGGTCCATCGCCCAACACAAAATTAATTTGCTGAATGTAGAATAAACTGTATTTTCCTGCGCTCAAAACTGCCAATCTAAAGGAAACTCCATGTATGTCGTTTGAGGTAATTTGTGAATTAGGCTACCATAGACTTATAGTCTAAATAAAATTCGTATTATGCTTGTTATAGAGTGCGTGACGTCATGTGCACTATTGCCGGGGCCCAACAAGGTCCATCGCCCAACACAAAATTAATTTGCTGAATGTAGAATAAACTGTATTTTCCTGCGCTCAAAACTGCCAATCTAAAGGAAACTCCATGTATGTCGTTTGAGGTAATTTGTGAATTAGGCTACCATAGACTTATAGTCTAAATAAAATTCGTATTATGCTTGTTATAGAGTGCGTGACGTCACGTGCACTATTGCCGGTGGCAGTAGACAACCGTGGTGGTCGGTTATCACGTCACAGCCCTATACAGAAGTTCTCTTTATTGCTGAAGTGTACGATTAGAGCAAGAGGAATAACAAACAGTTATATAGCGAATTAATTAAACATTGAGCAGTGTCTGATAGGAAATTGGGTGTATTGTCTCGCTCTCTCACACAGTAAGTCATTTGTTAAGCACAAGTTTAAAAACTGAAGCATTATGACATAAAAGGAAGAACTATTTCACATTCTGCACTTCTAGGTCACTAAGCAAATAATCTAATTTGTGACATTGATCTTGTGAAACTTTGTACAGTTGGTCAGAGGTGGTTCTTCCATTAAAGCACAAGATGCTCTTTGGATCACTCTAAAATTCGTAACAGTAATTGATAACATTAGCCTTTGGCTTGATTGTGTTGTCAAACAGCTAATAATGTGTTGCTAACGTTACACAAACCATGTTCCAGCAAGTTGACGGGACTGGCATGTGTTTGTGACGGTAGAAAACGAGGCTTTTTCAAACCACATTTTTGAAACGGTCTTTGGTGCGCTGCAGTTTTAAGGAGAAAATGCTTAACAATAGTGTTGACTGATGTTTTTGATCATGTTTTGTCTTTATGCCTATTAAAAACACCAGACAGAGAAGTAAACGACATTAAAATCTTGATTTTCACCACAGGGTGGAAACGGATGCATTATAGAAGCATGTTCGTTATTGGTCACAGATATTACTTCCCTACTGTATATACATTACAAATGTACCTGAATCCAAATGTACACTAATGCAGTTATGTGTAATCTGTAATCTGTCTTTCTATCTATGCTAAGAGTTTAAATGTGTCAGAGATGGAAAATGCAAGCATGAGGAACTTCAAATATGCCATCAGCAGCCCACTTCTAAACCTTTCAAAAAACCTTTGTTTCTAATGTGGAGGCAAATTGTTGGTCATCAAGTTTGTTTTGTGTAGGAAACCACCATAAGTGATCCATTAACATTACGGCGTACGGTCTGTTCACTCACTGTGTTGGCTGTCATTCATGGGCTGTGTTCAGAGTGTTTTTAAGCTGCCTCTTCTACCAGCTCTATATATTCACCCTGTCATTTTACCTCATATAACCCTGCTGACTCAGAGGAGTCTGTGTATCCCAGTGTCTCATATTAAAAACCGAGAGCAGCTCAGCGAAGGGGCAAGAGCTGTTGTCAGAAAGAGCAGTTGTAGAATGTGGGTCAAAGATTTATTGAGCCATCTCCTTGTTAGTGTTGAGGGCAGGTGAGTAATTCCCTTATGTTTGCCACTTGTAATTAGTTTTTAATTTATTCTAGATGTTTCCTAACAGATGCTGAAGGCATTGGAGCAATTGGCATTGGTGCTCCATTTGTTATTTAAAAGGAGTAAATGTAATTCTTCCTCTGGTGATCATTAATGTGCATCCTTTGCACCGCCGTCTTTCTCTACCTTGATGTGACAGTGATTCTAGCAGATTTCCTTCTAATCCCAATAACGGTGACTTGTGTCTCTTGAACAAATCCTGAGGATTTATCCCGACTAAGGGCAATTAGCAAATTAATTCTCCCCAAAATAATTTTCCTTCAGGATTTTGTTTTTGTAGTGTGATAAACAGTAACAATACCCATTTTCTCCAACAAATTTTTGTTGTTTCATTTTATTAAATTGTTAGTGAATAAAACGAAACTTGTTGCAGATGTTTATGCACAGTCATTTAGTATAGACTGATTTACATTTTGTCAAATGTAAAAATTACACATAACAGTAACAGTTCAATAACATATATTTTCGAATCGGACACATTAACCTACTTTCAGTTGTAGTAATAGGGAAATTCAGTTCAGTTCATTTGTCAAATCTGTCTTCCAAGCTTTTCCAGTAAAATAAGTTTTTCTGTGATTGTCCAAGATTCAGTTTAGTCTAATTCATGTAAAAGAACCACACCATTCATTTTGCATGTACTTACATATATGCACTACCATTGTAGCATGATGCTTTAGAAATCATTCTAATTAGGCTTGCTGCGATTGACGGTGATACCGGTGTTAAGCCGCAACACCGGTTATGTCACTTGCCCACCGCGTCACCCACCTCCCCCGTCGTTTTGATTTTTTATAGTAATAAAAATCATTTAGTTCAGTAAAAGAACAGACACTACAATTAAAAACTGAACGCGGCTGCTCAATGCAGTTGAACGACAGTTGCATCACAGATCAGATTTCGTTTCTCCATCGAGGAGAGTGAGTCGAGCTGACTGACAAGAAGAGTGGGGTGAGACAGATTGAAAACAGTTGTGCTGCCTAATATTTTTGTGAAAACCATGATACAAAATTACATAAAATTATAGTTGCATAAACTACATAAACTATCAGTATTTATTTGAAATTACAACCTTTTGTAAAATATGGATTTTTGTTAAATATGTTTACTGTCTCTTATGGTCAATGTAATGCATCCTTCCTGAATAAATGTGTTAATTTCTTTCAAAAAGTAAAACTTTACCTCGAGCTTTTTAACAGTAGTGTGTGTTTTATTTTATGTAATATTTAGTTTGTTTATTTCACTGTGCCACTCCTAAATAGTGATGCTGGAAGCACTGGTTTGTGCTATGCGCACATGCATACACGCGTACATTAGGTGTTAATGAGCCATTTCTGTTGTCATTGTGGTAATAAAAACAATGACGTGCAATGACATTTTTGGACTGAAGATGCCGTATATGTGGTCATGGAATGCACACACTTAATTGTTTTTCTTGAAAGAAGTGGCTTAAGAATTTTTGGAGCATACAAAAGTGCCGTTTGTGACATGTGAAGAATGTTCCTGTAATTGCTTTATTGCAGTGTATGTGTATTGTTTTCTGTTCCATTCAACTGTACCTAGCATGGTGACGCCACTAAACCTGTGCAACCAGTCCTCAAATACCTGGCCCAAAGTGTAAACTGTTCCTTGTGCTGCAATATAACATCAGATCAAGCATTGCAAAATGTCTGGATCACAGAGGTTCCCATAGATGCAAGATTGCCGCCAAACTAGTGTTTCTAACTCTTGACTTTCCGTTCTATTCTGTTACGCTCCGTCAAAATGTTTTGGAGCGCAAGAGCGCATCTTTTGTAAACGTTCAGATGGAGACTAAGTCTGCTCAACCTGCACAAGATTCATAGTGTCTTTGAACAAGCTTAGCAACTTGTGAAGTAAAAATCTGATTCCACTATTTGCTGTTTGTTTTGTTCATGACATTTTTTTTGTCTTGTCTCTTAAGTGATGGGGATGACACGGTGTGTGTTTTGCATAATTTCACAACACTCATCACATTACTTCAGTGCCATACTCAAACACAATCGGAGTTGCGGTTGTTTCAGGACGAAGTTGGGAAACCGCCCTCCACCACATCCTGTTTTAGAGCCCTTCTGTGTTAATCATGCTCACTACTTTACGGTTGTTGTTTTGGTTAACCACAACTCTTGCTAGTGTTTTTTTTTTAAGCCATATGGTTGCCTGTGAATTAGCTTCTGCAAACAATATTTAAGTCCCATCTGTGGATCTCACTTTTTTTGGTTATATTAAACCACTTTTATATCTGTTATAAACCTCCAATATATATCATCTTCGATTGATATTCAGCTGCCAATCTGTGACTGCTGGTTGTGGTTTGTGCTTTATACTTTGGGTTGAGTGTAAAGTCTTGTGAGTGATCAATGAAGCAGGTCTCCTCTCTCACTGCAGGCAGTCCATGTCTTAACCGGCCTCCCCTGTGGTTTTCTTTTCCAGGTGCCATTCTCGGCCGATCAGAGACACAAGAGTGTGTGTTCTACAACTACAACCCCAGCTCGGAGAACCGAGGAAATCGCAGCAGTATTGAGTCTTGCGTGGGCGAGAAGGACAAGAGGCTTCATTGCTTCGCAACTTGGCGAAATGTGTCAGGATTGGTTGAAATAGTAAAGCAAGGCTGCTGGCTTGATGATGTCAACTGCTATGACAGGTAATCTCTAGGGGTTTTACGCCTGTTTGACATTACCAAGAAACCAAGATAGTCTGAAACAAGTAACTAAAGTGGGGAGGAAAAAAGGCCCATTTCTGATTAATTGACTGGTCGTTTTTAAAATTGATATATTCATTCAAAAAATTGGATGTAACAGTTTTATAGTTTTTTTTTTATTATTCATTGTCATAATGTGGACCATTGAGGGTTTAAACTTTAATTAACTTTATTCAGTGCTTGCTCTGACGAATTCACTGAATTTATTAGAATAATTCAAACTGGTAATCCAGCAGTGTATGAGGTAGGGATGTTCATTTTAACCGTAAGAATTTTGACCGATTAATACAATCAGTTAAACGGTTTAAAAAGTCATTTAATTATTAATTTTTTCTGTAATTTATCAAAATATTTAAAAAGGTTTGCTGCATGGTTAAAATATGCTATGCATATATATATATATATATATATATATATACACAGTGGTGTGAAAAAGTGGGGTGCGATTTGGGAAAAAAACAGTGGGGGATGCTTTTGAAAACTTTTTATGAAATGTTTTTAATACGACGGAAACTGTATTTAACTTGATCACAGTTTAATAAAAGCATTGTACGTTCGGCCTATTAATTGTAATGATTTCATTTCCACGGTTATTCAAACAACGAATAAATTATATAGAGAAAGTGAGTAAAGAACTCACTTTCAGCAGAGGCAGGGATGCATAGACCAGAGGGGGGGAAATCCCCCCATCCCCCCCGGCAAATGCACCCTGTATATATATATATAGCCTAGCTTTATTATGTTTTTCTCCGCTGGTCAATTCTAATTTAAAATAATCTTTGTCGGTTAACGGTTAACAATCGGTTAACGAGTGTCGGTTGTCGGTTAGTAAAAATAACCGAAATGAACATTCCTAGTATGAGGCTTTTTGACCTCTGTCATTGTTAATCAACATCATTTTAAGTGTCAGGTTCTGTAGTAACATCACATATTTCCCTCTGAATATCGAGTTTCAAAAATGCTGTTCTTTTAAACTTTGTTCATCAATCCCTGGGAAAAAAAAACTCGGCAACTGTTTTTAACCTTAATAAGATGTTGTTTTTTTGAGCGGCAAATCAGCATATTAGAATCATTTCTAAAGAATCATTTGACACTGAAGACTTAAAATTGTAATATTATTTCACAACATTTCTGTTTTTACGGTATTTTTGATCAAATAAATTCAGCCTTGGTGAGACTTCTTTCAAAAAAACAAAAAAACTTTAAAACTGTACCAACCTCAAATGTCTATGCTAAAAATAAAACGTGTATGCTTTTTTTTTTTTTTTTTAAAGCATTTTTTAACTTCAAAATTGCCTAAATGGTCTAAATTGTCCATGGTCAATTCTATGTACATTACAGAGAGATAACTCCACACATTAATTTAACCAAATACTTCCTTCTCAAGATTTCACAGTATTTCAGATAAAGGCTTGTGTAAACATGTTTCCATGTCGAGGTTTGGTTGTGAACCTTGTAACCTCCATCCATAATAGGGGAGATATTAAAAACAGTTTTATCAGCGCATCTGCCCCTATGCAACAGGTAGCACTGCTGGCAGATCAGGAAGTGTTTCTCCTGAACGAAGGTGTTTTGATAGCGTGCAAAGGCAGCAGCACTTCTCTTGTCCTAACATGCTGCTGAACCCGTTTACCTCATTCGTTGGAAGGATTTATGTTTTTTTTTCATGCACATTGCACTGCCATGTCAAGTCCTTAGGTAGCTAGGCAAGTATTGCAAACGCTTAATGGCACGTGTGCGTCGCTAGCAGGAACGGACTCACTTTTCTGACTAAATGCCTCTGGAATGTCATCCATTCCCCTCTTATTTGTTCATTTGCACCTGTGTGTGTGTATTTTAAGGATTATTGGTGTGCTGCTAAGCTTTGTTTATCTTCTTTAAGCCAACCTGAGAGCTCTGCTTTGATCTGGGCTGCCAGATTTGAAAAAGTATCTCTTTGGCACAGGCTTTTTCCGCCCATGTGTATTTATCCGTTTGTTTGCTCTCTAACCCGAGCAAAATCCAAATAAACCTTGCAGCATGCATGTCTTAATTATCTCCAAATGTAATGCCATCTTTATTTTATTGCCAAAATAATTTTTATGATTCAGAAAAAATAGTGCTGCCGATCAATCTTTTTTCATTGTTTTAAAATCAAATTAATTTCATAACATATTTAATTAATCAAATTAATTAAATGTAATCAATATGTACTGTTGTGCACTTTTGTTGTGTTTTTTGGTGAACTGATGAAACATTGAAAATATGTTGTCCCCTAGAAGTTTCAGTGGTTGGAAAAATGTACTGTTGTATTTGGTTCTACTAGTATGTCAAATTGAAATAATTCTGCAAATGTTCATAAAAGAACAACAGTTGTGAGCTGACAGATCTGCTTGATCTTTATCTTACAGCACTGAGTGTGTTGAGAAGAAGGAGGACCCGGATGTGTTCTTCTGCTGCTGCGAGGGCAACATGTGCAACGAGAAATTCTTCTATAACCCTGACATGCAGCCAGTTCAGAGTAAGGCTCCCCTCAGCGACACAAACAGCAAAGTCTTTAAGGGTATTGGAAGTTCTTCAGTTATACCCCTTCCTCTGATGTAATTGTGCTGTCAGTGAGAAACCCTCTGTCTTTGCCTCCACATAACCTGTATTAGCTCATAACCTCATTATCAAAATCATCAATTAGGGCTGGGCGATATGACGATATTATCGTATATATCGACGATGTCGTAAGTATCGCGATGTCGATGTCAACAGTCAGGTAACAGACGATTATCGACATTATTGGGAAAAAATGACAAATGATAAACCTAGTAAGTTGCAAAAAATATTTTACATAGCCCCATAATCACCATACAGGTCTTTTTGCATGCAAGAATTAAATAATTTAGTAGGAGGGTTGGGAATCGAAAAGCTATTCCAATTTCGTAAATCAGATCAGATGCGTAAGGTCAGGAATCAAATTACTTGTTATAAAATTACATTTAGATCCTGCTTCTCGATTTCTGTATGCACATTTATTGTGATTTCAAAAGATTCAACTGCAGGAAAACGAAATAGAACTCACTTCTGCACTCGCGCAATGTTTTCTGTGCTGCACACACACACACACACACACACACACACAAAGCGCACGCACAAAAGCCGCCTCTTATATACTCAAACACTGGACTGAGCTCTCTTTCTCGCATTCTTACACATTCGAATGGACCTGCTTCTAAATAAATAAAGCAGTTACTTTTATTTAGTTAAAAACGGGCCAAAAGAGACCTCCGAACTAGGCTACCAGAAAGGGGAAAAAAAACTTTACGTTTTTTGCTCAGAATTAGTTTTTAATCCCTGCATGATTTTAGTCATACATGATAAATATCAAATACGTTATAGCTTGACTACAAGTTTAAAAACAACGCTGCAATTGTTATAATCAAGGAAATTAAACTTACCATCATGAAATGTCTACACAGGCGATAATTACAAAAAGAAAGGAAACGTCGGAAAATAGGCATATTTTATTTAAGGCATATTTTAAGGCATTATTATATGACATCAACATGCATTTATCATTCTTACAATCACAAACTAAGAAAAGTAAAACCAAACTTTTTGGCAATAATTAAGACCAAACTGAACATGGTGTGCGTTTATGGTGCATGTCGGCAATGTTGTCTTGGCGGGGGCAGGGTGTGGTGGAGGTGGTGCTTAGGTAGATGATATTATCGGATATCGTGATATTTTTAAAGGCGATTAGCGATAAGGTATTTTTGACATATCGCCCAGCCCTATCATCAGTTACCTCGAAGAACCTCTCAGCCGTTTTTCATGACTGTTCATTTCAAAAATCATAACGGGCTCACTGCTTTTTCCTCTCCATTGTAGCTTTTTTTTTTTTTCTTCAATGTGTTTCATTTCCTGAATTATTTGTGTTGCAATCTTTTTTTTGCCACAATTCAATGCATATGTGCTGTGTAACTGTAAAGTGCATGTAGAGTCTGTACATCAGTGTTGTGTGCTACATGTTATTTATGGACTTTAATGAAAAACTTTCATTAAATCATGCACATTAGGAAGACCACTTACAATGTATGCACTTTCTCTATTACTGTGTGTTATGATATTTAAAATCCTTTATCAATGTTATTATGTTTATATTAAATTAACTGGCTTTAGGTACTGGTTTTCTAAAGTGTTATGGTGTGTTATGGTGTAAATGTTCATTATTATTTCCTGTTGGAATATTGCAGCTGAAGTTGGTTCTGCATGTTTTTTGGTCTGTTTTCAATATCCTTTTAAGAAAGTGAAATTGATAAGGTTCGTTTCTGTGAGCTATTTTAGTTTGATAGTATCTCATGGGTGTGCAATTTAGCTTTTGAATTCCAGTTAGTTCATTGTGCCTTCTTTCTATAGTTTTACCTTGAATTTAACAATTGATTCGGAAATATCAAATTACAGATTTGCTTTTAATCAAAAGATGTTAGGGACTTGGATTTATTCATTCATTTTGTTCAGATAATTTTATATTTCTTTGATAAAAAGATATGCTTATCTTGACCCAGCCACCAAATCACCACTGACAAAAGCTCTGTTAGTTACTCTGTACATTGACTCGTATTCATATCTTTTTTTGAAAATAATCATGGAGTAGCTGTAAAAGTTATCAGAATGTTTGCAAGGTGTTTTAGAGGCAGAAACGCATCTGTTTTTTTAATTATTATTCTTACCTTTAAGTAAACCATACGTTCCCATCAGTTTTGTTGTACATAAAAATGGAAGGCAACTTTATATTTTACAAAAAGTAGGCCTACTACTTAGTTTAGCATCGTTAAACCAAATTGTAAGGCTGAATCAGCTGTAATGTTGAATTTTTATGAGCGTTTGGGAACAGAGTGATTGAATAAATAGCAGTACTTCAGTTTTACATTGTTTCTCTTCTGAAATGTCTAAGCGTAACATTACCGATTTTGAACCATCTTCATCCGCTGCAGTAGATCCTCAAAATACATAAACTGAACATGAGCAGGGCTTCTGAACAGCCATCTATATTGAGCGATTCTGTAATTTGGCAACTCAGAGCTGTTTGGCGTTCATCCATCCATCCTAAAATGAAACATTTAGAAGATCGTGGCGCATATCATATAGAAGACATCAGTTTGCTTTGCTGTCTTTGGGCTTTCAACAGCATAACGTGCTCTCGCAGCCCCAGAGATGACCGTGTCTTTTAGATTACCGAGGCTGATCTGGTCGCTTTATCTCTTCTGAGTAAACACTGACATCAACATCCTCTTAACTAAATGAGGGATGGAGGCATGTCAGCGAATACAGACCCAGCGGTTCTAATCTACTGGTCCAGTGCTTTCAGCTCCCTGCAGGGTGGCAGTTGTACGTTTCAGCAATCGTGATTTATTATCTGCCCACGGTCTCTTGAAAACATGGCCCGATTTAGTTGCGTGCAGTTACTGGTTGCGCTCCGCCTGATGAGTTTTGACACTACAACTGTCGGTATCGGTGCAAATGCAGTGGGTATAAGAGTCTTCAGTACTTCAGTAGCAGAGGAGGTGGGGGTGTGTGTGTGTGTGGCGGGGGGGTTCTCACTCGTGCTTACGTAATGGGTCTATTTCCAGCACTGACACTCACTCCATATGGAATGATCTTGATATGAAATGCAAAAACCCACAGTGACATGAAGAGTTGCACAAAGCGCACTGTAGTTTCTCAGAATTCGCTTTCTGCGAGCATGGAGCTGTGTGCTTTTTATGACCTTGTGACCGGGTACTTTCATGCCCCATGGCTGCGTGTGACCATTCTGCCGGCTGAGTGGGGCAAGGGTGGAGTAGGGTTGGATGAGAGTGGGTTTGTTGGGGGTGGATGTCTGTGTTTTTTTTTTCTTGTGCTTGTGGATTAATCCAGAGTCCTTAACCCACTTCCAAGTCCATAGCTGGCACGAGAGAGAAGAAATGGCATCATGAATGAGATCTCTCTCTGCTGGACCGAAGCTAATACGGGTTCAGCTGAAGTTCGACCGGGTGGGTCACGCACATGGTCCGGTGGTCAGCCCAGGCGAATGGGAAAAACTCTGCCATAACATAAGAGCAAGGGATCACTGCATCTCTGGCCAGCAGCCACGGCCCAATCCGATCTCTGGCACTAGATGCAGAGAAACCAAGGGCCACCGTGTGCACTGACTAAGCATGTGTGCTATTCTCCCTCAAGCGCACACTCGTGCAGTTCCATTGAACCGCTCTTAACGGGAATTTGCATTTGCATAGAAGCATGTGCTTTGGAATAAATCTGTTTGCATAAGGCAGAATCTGTCAGCAGCCTTCAGGGAATCAAACCAACCTTGTTTCAAGGCTGCTGTGAAAAAAATGCAATTAGCGAGTTCAAAAGGTGTGGGACATAAAATAAGTATGCAGTGAGAGATTCTCAACGTACACTGTGTATCTCGTTAATGCGGCGTATAGAAGGTGTGTGCTAGACTTCACATCCGTCATCTGTTGTGTTCCTCTTGAGGGAATTAGGAGCAAACTCTCATCTGAGGTTCTGCTTAGTAATGCTAATGGAAGCTGAAGTCATTCTGTCAAATGCTGATGTCATTCCTTTTTACATTCATGTCACTTATTAAGCCAATAGAGATCGTAATAGTGTGGGTTTCCAAAATAGCATATATGTATTAGGAAGACAATTACAATATTTCTGGACTGATAATTAACAGCTTGTTGTGCCTGATACAATTAACCTTTTATTTTATTTATCTACTTGTTTTATTATCTATTTATTTTTATACATATAAAAGCTTTAATAAAAGTTTAGAATGTGGACTTTTTATGCATTTAGGAAATCTGATTTTGATTACTTTGTTACTTTGCTTTTTCATTTACAGAGAAATTGGAAATGTTCCCTTCATAATTTAAGAAATATAGTGATCAAAATAGGTATCTGTAAAAACGTCATGACCTATATCATGTCAGTATATTGTAACAGTCGTAACTGGTAGAATACAATAAGCAAGCATATTTGTATACATGAAAACTGTCATATGCACATGTGAGAAATCCTTCAAAATATTTCCTTATTTGTTTGATTTATTTGCATGGCTAAAACAACTGACAGAAGACTAAATGTAAATAGTGCTCATAACAGAATATAGGAATGTGTCTTGTGTGAACGTTTTCAAAATCAATTCCCAGTTATTCTTAGTCATATACGCTTTGGTTCCAAAGTTTGGGTTCAGTAAGTTGTTTTTGTTGTTCTTGTTGCTGTTTTATTTTTTGTTTTGTTTTTTTCAAAAGATACAGTAAAGATTTTTTTAACCACTTTTGACTTTCTATTCATCAAAGATTTCTGTGAAAAATACAAAAATATTTAGCAGCACAACTGTTTTCAACATTAATAATGAGAAATGTTTCTTTGGTACCAAATAAGCATATTAGAATGATTTCTGAAGGATCATATCACGTCATGTAATGATTGCTGAAAATTTAGCTTTGCCATCACAGGAATAAATTATATATTCAAATATATTAAAAAAGATTTTTTGGGATTATAAGTTATAATATTATTTCACAGTAGTACTGTTTTTAGTGTATTTTGTTCAACTAAATGCAGCTTTGGTGAGCAAAAGCAACTTCGTAAAAAATATTACCGACCCCAAACTTTTGAACAGTAGTGTAATCGTGCACCTATTAAAAAGCATTGATCGGTACTGATCTCTCTCATTCTTCTTCTCTCCCTAGCAACATCTAACCCCTTCACCCAGAAGCCACCACTGTTCAGTACCCTTCTGTACTCCATCGTGCCCATCATGGGCATCACCGCCATTGTCCTGCTCTCCTTCTGGATGTATCGACATCACAAGCTGGCGTATCCACCTGTTCTGGTGCCTACCCAGGTAAATTGATATCTCTACTGTTTAATGCATGTGTTTTGATTCACTTTTAGTAAAATGAGAGAAGTATTTCCATATTTTGAAGTGAAACACTAATGTCAGTGAATCACATGCAGCACAATGTTGCAAAACCCATCTGCTCTTATCACTGTAGCTCTTGAGTTTCAGTGTATCAGAACATTTTCATGCCACTAGAAACAGTGCTATTGGGAGCTGTTATTTCCCCTGGGCAGCACCTCCTGTTGATGTGAATGACAGTGATTTCAGGGATCTAATGTGCTCAATGTCACACTCACTTAAGCTCAAACACACTGTCAGCTGAAATCAAACTAGATCTGTCAGGACACGGTTGTGTTTCAAGTGCCCTCTTCTCCCACCAGAAAGACGAGATAACAGAATATAACACAAGACATGAGCAATCAGGTGACCTTTACCCGTGTGTGACTAGTGTTGAGATTCACATCTACTTCTGAATTACACAATAGATCTTTATAGATTTAGCTAGTGAAGTCAAAATCTGAACTGCTGGGTCAGCGTGAAAAAAATCCTTACTGTTTATCCTTAGCCTTGCAGGACATCTTTAGCAGCTCAGAGTAGATGCATTTATGTGTGCTGGGCTGATATATGGTCTGTGTGGTAGCACAAAGGATTACCTTAGTGTCAGGTGAGCATTTGGAATTCCCCGATTGAGTTTCAGGGTTATGTAGGCCAGCTCTGACAGATGAACCATCCCCATAGCGCTGCTGATATTGAGTATCGTGATCAGCCCAAACATGTTTTTGATATGTAGGGAACTTTATTAGCTCTTCATACAGCCGTCAGAAGGCCTCAGGGACTATTACAACACTTAGTTAATATGAAACTGCATTTGCACCTTCCCTAATGGTATATCAACTAGAAAAATTGTAGGGGTTTGACAGTGGTTGGGCAGGAGATATGGAAACATGGGGGGGAGGGGGGGTTTGGTGAAAAAGAAAGCCGTTTTGGAGCAAGAGAACATTTAGGGTTCCTACGCCGTTTGGAAAAGTATGGAATTTGATTTGAGTAATTTCCAGGTCTGGAAAAGTATGGAAAAAGGAAAGCAGAGTATAGAAAAATATTTGTATTTCCATACTTTTGCCCCTATTTTAGTTTTCTATAATAGAAAATTAAGAATTTAATGAAAATAAATTAATCATACAAGAAGTATCTTTTCATGGCAGCTGTTTAATGATTCTTTGATGATTGCCAAACACGACTGAATGAATTCAAAAATGCAGGTTATAGTCGGGTTTTGGGTTTCTTCTCACGATATTCTTAGGACTGTATGACAGAGCCTCTAAAAGGATGTTTGCAAAAATAAAAAAATATACAGACTTTTGTGTGCACACAGAAACTGAGCTTGATTGCGCCATCAGCAAATAGACTTATGGCCTTGAAATATGATGTACTGCTCTAAATATAGGCAAATTTTGAACAATTGTTTACAGTACCGGTCTTTTTTATATACCCTTGAACTTGGCAAATAGGACAAAGCACACAGCCGTATTGTGCCATCGGCCCATTTCGTCAACAAAGGATGCATTAAATTGGACATTAGTCCTTGATATTATCTATTTACCAAATTTTGAGCAAATAGATCTCTATTAATTCATGTGCATCCATGCTCTCATTTTCTACATAGTAAGATGGCAGTGACGCACAAAGGAAATAGGTTATAGTATATATAAAACTAGAAATTGTAATGCGTAAGCACTCGAACAAAATTCCCATACGCATGTGAATAGTTTCCGTGTGCATGCAAAAGTCTTTGTTTTTTTTAGGGGCTCTGTATGTTGTCACTTCGAGAAAATCAATGAATAAACACAGAGGACTTGTACTACATACCAAATATAAAGCTGAAAATAAAGCTTCAATGAATCATATATGTTAAATAAATATGGTCTGAAAATCTACTGAGAAGTTTGGACATCTGAGTCTGGAAAAGTATGGAATTTTCAGATGGAAAATGTGTAGGAACCCTGTATTTTGTGATTTATTTATTTTATTATTATTATTTTGAAAGAAATTAATACTTTTATTTAGCAGGGACACATTAAACTGATCAAACGTGACAGTAAAGATTTTGCATTGTTACAAAAGATTTATATTTCAAATGAATGCTGTTTTGAGCTTGCTCTTCATCAAAGAATCTTTCAAAATTAAAGAAAAGGGGAACAAATGGTTTCTGAAGGATCATGTGACACTGAAGACTAGAGTAAACTAAAGGCTGCTGAAAATTTAGGTTTGTCATCACATTATAAAAAAAAAACATTTAAAAAATAAAATAGTAATTTTAAATTGTAATAATATTTCACAATATTACTGTTTTTACTGTATTTTTGAGCAAATAAATGCAGTCTTAGTGAGCAAAATGATCATACTGGCCCCAATCCTTTAAATGTACTTTTTGTTTTGATCGATCATTTCGAATTCGAGACGAATTTTGGCTCTAGCTGTCACTCTACAGCGTCACAAACATTGCAAGATTGCCAGAAACGATTTTGTAACGTGTTGACAGGAAATGTGGCATTTCACAAAGTGCCACAAAGAAATCTGCTTGTTTTGAAATGCATAGAAATGTAATTTCTTTGAAAATCTGTTTCATCGACTAAGACATTTGAGTGCAGAAAAATCCTTTAGTGCTCTTTCTTCTTCAGTGATGAAACCATTACTGTCCAAAAGCTTGCTCACTGTCTGTTGATAAATAACATTTTGCTTTCTTCTGACTTTCAGAGGCACTATTATTACAGGGTGGTTGCTCCATTTGTGATATAACCTTTCTTTCTAGTGTTTAGTGCTAAGCTAGATGAGCTAAACTCTCACAACTTATTTGTACAGCTCAAGCTAAATACGAGTAACGTGAGAGCTGTCTGACTTGATATTTATTACTGTTTGCTCTTTTTATTTGGTTAAAGACTCCTCTCTTGTCTTCCTGTAACTTCGGCAGTTAGTTATTTTACTCACTGATATGATCTTTATAAACATTTACACTGCAAGGCGGAAATGCACGATACATCTCATTTAGATAGGCCCATCTTTAACTGTGCATGGTGGCCTGATGGTGGTTGCTGTGTGCATTTACATTGGCCACTTTATCAACATAGATGAGAATCATTTTATGATGCCGTTAGCAGTTGTCATCAACATTGTTTTGAATAGCTCTGATTTAAATGTTTCCCCATCAATTCTCAGGCCATTTTAAAGCATGTAGTTAAAAATAATGTCTTCTTTTGAAACATTTGGCCCCCAGCCTCCACTTTAGAGTCTCATACCATTTAGAAAGCAGAGAGTAGCTTCTTGATTATTTAACGGTTATTTTACGAGGACCCAAGACCTAACATGCCCCTCAGGAGAGAGAGCACAGTGTGCTTTAACTGCATTAAGTGCTTGGCTTCACTGTGAGGACGGGAATTTTTTGTTTCTGGAAGGAAAGGGCATTCAGGCAGCTACACGCATTTTGCAGAATTTCCTCTTTTTTTATATATTCATATTTTAGCTCTTATGCATGTGCCTAAACTCATTCCACATCTATCTTTACTTAAATCACCGTTTTTATTTTTACTCACCTTTTTTGTGCTTTGTGTTTTTGTTTATTGAATTAGACAGGAAATGTTTTGGTATATGGGGAGGGAAGACGTGCAAACTGCTGCACCACAGCTCTGAAAACACTATTTTCTTATTGTCATTTAGTTTTTAAGTCATGGTTAAAGTGTTCCTGTTCCTGTGTTGGTTGTCTGTCAAGGGTACAATATTATATTGTATCTATGAATGGGAATGCAGATCGGTTTTACTTGCTGAATGGTAACAATTTATGCCCGATTTTCTTTAAACTTTTGCTTTGAACTCTTTAAAATATTTTGTGTTTTCTTTTGAAATATTCGGAATTGTTCCTAGTTGACAGTTTTATTTGGTAAAGTCTCTCAGAATCTTGTACAAGTCTGGCAGTTGCTGTAACATGCAGATTTGGCCTCAGGTATAAGCGGCAACCGTTGAGTGGTGTCCTTGGGGCTGAAGGTTCATTCTTTTCAGTTATATTCACTTACACGATGTTAAAATCACAGACAAGTCAAAAAAAAAAAAAAACATGAGGCAAGATGTTTAATTGGAATATCTACTTGAGGCCCACACCTGCATCAGTCTTTGCTGTTTTATCTTGTGAAGCATGTGCTTTTAACAGCATAAGTGGCACCAAACAGAATTGCAAAAATAAAATAAAAAATCCCCAAATCATTGGTTGGACAAATAGATTGTCCCATCCCAAACACAAGCCATTGGTTGAGTAAATGTTGCTATGTCAGGACGTTTTCAGACAAGAACGACCTCTGAATGCCTTACTTTTAGTCTCTGCACAGTAAAGTAGAAGAAAGTATTTTAACTTTAAAAAAAAAGTATAACAAAGTGGTGTTCCTATCTTTTGGCTTGACATAAATGTTAAATCTTTTGGACAGACATAATTGGGTTAACCTGTAAAATTGTATTGTGTTGGCCAGCAAGTGAAAGTTCCTACAGAAATAGTGAAACACATTTATTCGTTCTTAAAGAAATCGTTAAATTCCCCATCACGTCTTTCCATCTCATATACGTTAAACTAAAACTAACACTTGATTTCCTCTTTCCTTCCTCAACTAGCACGCCTTTCATATAATGATAGAGGTAAGAGAAGCCTGACTCATTCATCTATTTTTATTTTTTTTCAAGATTATGTTGGAACCTCATTTTAAACCTTTTTTTTTTTTCATTGATATCAAAAGCACCCCTTTGTTTTTGTTAGCACATTTTCCTATAATATCCCACTGGTTTTATTTTGCGTTTATCCCTGCACATTGCCTCATCAATCTGTGATGTTCTGACTTTCAGTGCACGGATAACAAAAACGAAATCCTCTCTGATTCAGGGGATTCCGGCAGAGATCCCTTGATTTAGGTGCATGGTAAAATGGCAGTACTGAGGTTAAAAATGCACGTCTCCAAGCATGCAGCAAA